CCCTCCCTACAATGCGTCCAGGCGCTTGACAGAATTGAGTACAAATTTAAAGGGGTTTTGACTATAATTTGAAATAACTTGATGGGTCTTTTAAATGGCAAATAAAGACTAAATTCAGCTATCACAAATGCAACCAGCGGTGATATTTTTTGCAAATCGCCGTGATTTATAAGCCGAAATGTCATGCCACCCACCGTGTTTAGTACGTCTGAAAAGGGAGTGGGTGTTCTGGCGGTCCCTGTGAGTTATTTTTGCCAACATTCTGCGCATTTAAAAGTGTTTTTGTGATATGCCAAACTAAGAATGAGGTCATTAAAATTCATCAACACGTAACCATTCTCCGCGACTGCGTGGGGCATCAGGGTCTGCCAGGCACCTCTTCGCACCACACAAGTTATGGCGTTTCCTGTTTAGTTAAGGGGGGCGCAGCGATGGGGAATATGGGCTGACCCATGTAATGTAAACAAAGTGCGACAGTAAGTCGCTCCCACAGGGGATTTTGTACCCCACTGTGACAGTAGGATTCATGCCACCGAAAATATTCAACAATTATAATTTTTAGATAAGGGCCAAAAGCTGGAGGTACAATTGGTCCTCCCAGGGTTATCATAACTAAAACTTGGCTATGACTTTTTTGACCGGAGAAATTGCCATCGGTTAAGTACGAAGCAGCCAAATTGAAGATAGGGGACAAATGCATCCATTAGCAACCCACATTTCCTCCCTTTTACCCAAATGATTTGGTTATTGACATCCACAAGCAGGTGTTCCGACTTTCTCGCAAGCTTTTTAGTTGAAATGGTAACCTGAACGACCAGACAACTACATTTCAGCGCCTCATCTTTACATTATTTATAAAATGGGCTCACACAGGCTCGTTCTATGATTTACTGACGGCGAAACGCTCGTGGGAACGTCAGGCCGCTGCAGCTTCGCAGACACAAAACTCAGTAGCTAGCTCTTAGTTTACAGGGTGTATTATTAGCTGCAGAGTCGAGATGCTTTACACAAACTCCACAAAGGAAATTTAGGATTGAGCTCTGGCAAATTATGCCTGTAAATTTTGACGGGAATAAAGCTGAAGGTACTTCACTCATAAACAAAGCCTACACGAATTTGTGAACTAACTGTCACAATTCGAGGTGCATTAGTTGAGTCGATATTGAAAAATTCATGTCAGAGTTACCATAATGTGGTGGAAAAAACTTCCTAAGCCATCAGTCAAGTGATGTCTGAAAGCGCTGAAACAAGGAATAAAGGAAGGCAAGTGAAGGCAATGCTGCCTATTGCTAAATATATCAGCATAATTTATTTTAAAGGTTTTCGAATTTAGGTCGGTTTAGGCATGTACCATCAACTAGATACCTCCTCGCGGAAGATATAGAAGTGAAAGTTGTATCCTAGTCACTTTCAGAAACACAAAATATTGGAAGTGAAATTGAACAAAGCCACTTACAGTCTCTCAGTGTTGGCCGGGAGATTGTCAGGAATACCCCTCAAATGTTCGTTCTCACACCTAACCGCCCTGGCAAAACAACGGCATTCAGCAGGACAACCGGACAATCTAAGGCCTCCTTCGATGTGGGATTGAATTCCAGCTACATTAGATTCTCTCCGATGTTTTGCTGATTGCGAGCTATAGGGGTACCACGTTTTTAGGGGTTCCCTAGCCGAATTCACCTCAACGATGAGGACCAACAGGCGCAGAATGAGGGAAGGCAGTATCATGTTACGAGACCGAAATAGAGATTTTCTTTCAAACGCGTATTTCTCAAATCAATGGGCTGCAAGGTCTCATGTTCTTCTGTATGCTTGCGTGTGTGCACTTGGTGTCTACAACGCGGGTGGTAAAATGACGGCGGCGACAAGTGGTGGAAACGCATTCATGACTTGCATGTGTACGCACATTTGTGGCCGGATAGTTGATTGGCTAGATGTGAGGCTAGCCGCGTCCTGATTGGTTCTGCGCAGCAAGCCTGAGTGCGACTAGCAGAAAATGGACCGCCCGCCTGGGTGGTCCTGCAATGCCTGCTCCCAGGGTCTGCAGTCACCATCGAGTAAATTTGTTACCGATCCTAGCTGGAACTACACACAACGACACGCGGAATTCCGAAACAACTTTCCCATGCCGATGGAGCATTGCAACTACTGATGTGTACTTAATGACTTTACGAAGCACCCTGGGTAGACGACTTTCAGTTTAAAAATAGTCACAACTTCAAACTGGTTTAACATTAAATTGAGTCAATGGTTTCATCTGTTTTGCTTTCTACTAGTGAACCTACAGGCAGAAGACGTAAGTAAAGGGTGCTGACTAGGTGCTTCGAAAATGGCTCGAACATGCGAAGGGGAATTTTGTAAGTTCCTGAAAAGCCTGATCAAATATTTGAGTTAGTAAAACGTTAAAAGTTAAATCACAGAAGTTAAACCAATAATTGTTTATTTTAGGTGAACTCGAACGAGCCTTGGCTAACAGTGGGTAATGTAGTAAGGGAATGGTCCTAGTACTAACTGGACAAAGAGTAAATGTTTGTGCTATAGACTGAATGGAATATTCGCCAATGCAGAGACACACTGATTACGAAGATTTAAAAGCCTCACTAGGTATAACGAATGTATTGGTAAAGATAAAAAGTGCTTGTAAAGGTTCAAGGAGTACAATTCACAAGACTGCCCTTCAGGAGCAAAACGAAACAGATATCGGCTAATGTGAGTCGACTGCGCCCATAGAATTCGTATTTGAGAAATTGTCATTGTCACCCTGGGCCTAATAACGTAAATTCGGACGTGACAAAGGCATAGAGGAAGCAATGTCTGGACGGTATAGAAAGAAACAGATTACCATTTTCTAATTCGCAATCATTCAAACGGATTTCGTCAAGTGCTCGTTGTTTTTTCTGCCTCTTGATTTCGGCTGTAGGGTTGCCAAGCATTAGATTATTCAGAAGAAGGCTTTTTGTGCATCAGAAAGGTGTTAACACATTAAGGATCCTGCTCATTGAAGAAATTAATTAGCAGCATGCTGACATTTGCTGGCGCTTAATATCGAACTCAATAAGAACAATGGGGTTGCACTTGAAAGTAAAATTCACCACTACTTTCAATTTATTTGTCCTGAATGGATAAAGTTTCCGGAAATAAAACACAAATTTAGGCATTTTTAGATTGGATCAGTTACTAAATTAACTTTGCAACAGATCTCTCAGGAAAAAGAGACCAATATTTGTCTGTGAAAATCAGAACTGACCACCGCGCTGTGTGTCTCCCAGACCCCTTGACACACGACATTCTTCTTCATTTTACGGTGGTCTTGCAATCGGCATCTACCATCATTGAATTGTTGAGATTACCTTAGTAGCAGAATAATGTTCGTGTTCAAAATGAAAAGTACGTCTGAATTCTTTTTTTGTTCACGTCAAGATTCAATACTAAATTGAAGCGATAGAGGTAGTAACGGAAAGCGTTTACAAGAAACTAAGTGGAGTGGAATGCTTGCATTCTTAATGTTTCGTTGTGAATCGTGTTTATTCATACCCCTTAATCCGGTCGCTCCACCTCCGACAAAGGGTTCCTCTTTTTGCAGTATGTCGCCAGCCACGCGGATCCTCAACTTCCCCCTCATTCACACGAATATTTATCCTGGATTATCCTCACACCTAGGTCTCGATGTTAGCGCACGTATGACTCACACACCCGAGGTATAAATACACACTCGCAAACCCACACACGACACAACGAGGTTGAGCTCTAAAGTAAGCGGTGGTCTCCATGTCCTTTTCGGTCTTTTTCTTTATCACAGGTCACAGGAAAGCGTAATCGGGCCAGAGTTAATTCAGTGGTCCCGGTGTGGTTCGAGACCAAATGCCGAGGTCCACAACACTTTTATCAAATGCACAATAAATTGCAAGTGCAATACGCATATCTTGTAAAAGAGGCAGTTCAAAGTGCCAATTCCGCTAATGTGTCCCATAAAAGTGACAGCTTTCCAAGTAACGGCCCATCAATATAATGGTTAACAAAATTTATCAAAACGTGGACCGGTAACTAGGCAACCTCTGTACTGAAGAGCCTGTGTGCGGTTGCTCCAGAAGCCGATCCTCCAAACGCAAAATTCCACAAATAAAAAAATTATGGAATGAAGCTAAACTAAGTGAACCACATGTGAAAGGACGGCACTTATGCTTACTCGGGCGTATCATGGCGTTTTTAGAAGGCTGTTTGAAAACTGAAAAAAGGTTAGCAACAAAAACCTTCACCACCGGTGGCCGAGACCTCCATAATCACCCACAATTTACGCTTGAAAACTGAGGCTCCCCACCAACGGACTCGATTTATTCATTGCTACTCAATAAAATTAAGCAGCAGCAATACTACATCCGCTCTTTACCAGACCCAATTTGGGTTCTAAATCTAAAAATTGAGCATTGTGGTCACCTCAGTGACAATACTTTTCCACGAAATTGATCACACATTGATGCTTAAAAAGGGGGAACTAGCTACAAGAAGTCTGTGACGCCTGCAAAATATCTCGGCAGATTTTCTATAAAACCATCAAAACCTACAACGGCAACAACGAACCCAGGCTCATGGAAACGTCATTTATTGTAGACATATATATTTAAAAATAACTGGTGAAAAAATTGGGTTCCATCTGAGTTGAAAACGGACGCGGTCAGTCATTCGTTATTTGCGTCAGGCGTTGAACGAAGTCGGCCAGATCAAGCGACAAATCCGACCACCTCTCGTGAGCGCGGAACCTTGCAAGAGAAGAAATTGCGGTCAGATAAATGGGCGACGGGTGGCAATTGTCCGAGTGACTGCATGCCTATCATTTCTAGAAATACGTCTTCCATCGTAAGCAATAACTACTGAGAAGAGAGTGGATGAGAAGTTACTCGCAATCAACTAACATTGCTGACTCAAATGCGAGCTTGACCATACTAAAAGTGTGCAATGAGCACTGGGCAGTAATTGACGTGGCTGGCATAGCTTTTAAAGAGTTACAGTTGCCCGACAGCACATTGGGCTTCCAGGGAAAATAAAGAAGTGGTGGTGATGCCCACCGCGGTTTCAATGTGGCTGGTGAAACTGTGGTAGAAAAAACTATGCACTCTGACGGTTCGCTGGTAATGTGTCTGGGGATTTACATAAAGCCCGTCGCTGCGGCTGACGTGACTAGCCGAAGAGTGGGGTAAGTCCCATTTACTCAAACCAACGACTTTGATTACTGATTTTGTGGGACCGTGGATACAACACGAAGGGCTACAGGAGACGCACTGATTGCGCAGCCACCGGCTTATGCCAGAAAGGTAGCGCGCCGGCTGCTCGACGAAGCGCGCGTCCACGAGAATGATGGCGCCCCAGTCGTTGCGGTGGCGGATGCACCGGCCCAGGGCCTGGTTCAGCGCCCTGTACGCCTGAGCCTCGTACCACTCGGAGCCGGACAGGACGAGTTGCCTGGCCCCTGGTGGTGGCCGCGCTGGCGAGGCCGGCACTTTGCTGGGCGAATTCGACCACTCAACTCTGGAGGCGGCGGCGACTTCCTGGGCTACGCAATTCTGACTAGCCTGAAATTCGTTAAATGGAAGTACGTTAGGCTGGAGCTTAAGTGACCCAACCAAATAGTACGCATGATGACATCACTTTAACCATCCACAACATTTTGAAGTATGCAATGCCCTGAACAGGATGTAATTTTGTTTTCAATAGACTGTCCTATCGTGCATTAGGCAGTAAAAGTTGCAAATCAAAGCACGCAAAAATCTAGTCAAATTTGTTGGAGCACCGGCGAAGCACCCAAAAGTGGTGTCCCAAGACTTTTGACGCAGTAGAGAGGCACTTCAAGAGAACAATGAGGATCCTGTTCCGGAAGGTGACCGACAGCAAAATATTCCTGTGTTAAGTTTCATGAGACTCGAAATTCCAACCAACCATACCTCCCGATTCATGATGAATATTCCAGCCTTAAGGTATGGGCTAAGGGAACTGGAAACTTGAAAACCCCGGGACATGGTTTCCCGTTTAAACCAGTCTGACCCCAGTTTTCAATACGATGGAGCTTAATACATGACGACTGTCTAAACAAGCTTCTGGTGATGAATCGCAAATAGTAAAAAGCAGATGAATCTTTGGGGGATACTAGACAACACGAGACTACATGCAAATTCAGTAGTCGCGAACAAAATGAGTGTGGTCGACGACAAGAATCGAGACTTGTGTGTTTAAAAGGATACTTGAAGGACTGAAGTTCGCAGCAGCTAGCAAACTGGCGTTTGTGCGAACCATTACCTATCAGTGGGCAAGACGGGCACAGGGACAACAGCGACTTACGAATGACACCAATTCAATGGTGGTGCTGTCAGGTTGCTATTCAAATGTACCTAATTTGCAAATTGGCCAGAGGGCAGGCGTGCTGGGCATCACAAAAATGCATTAATGAAGCGCATATACGCACTAAAGAGGCCTTAAGTGGAGAGCGGGAGCTGGCGTGATTGGAGAGTCTGGCGAGAGTGGGGTTTGCACATCGAGCGGCTGTTTGTCCCACGCGGGCGGTGTCGTTAAAGGAACGTTTCTGTTCAATCTAAAAGACAATTAATTACAGTCGAATTTTAGCCAGATTTACAACAAGTGATTACCAGAATCGTGGTGGTCTTGCTAAACTGCCTGCCCTTACATCCCTGTGCGTGTACCTCTCCCCCCATCTACACCTTTCATTAATTTGACCGTTCAGGCATTTGCAATTTGCAGGTTCACCCAGCTTGCAGCCCCCCTTAGGAAGACACGTTTCCGATGCGCAGTGGAGCGACTGACACAACTTCGCTGAGCTACCTGGCAAACGGCTGTGGCTCACTCTCTCCGGTCGTCTCGCCTTCTCGGCGCGTATCTGAGTGGTGTAAACAGGGTACTTTAACTCAGCGGCCCCGGCGTGACACAAGACCACATGCCTCGGCCTACGACAAAGGATGTGTGATAGTAGTGTTGGCGCATAGCTCATAATCCCAAATTCCTCGCAAAGTGAATTCCTATTCTGCGTGCCGACTCCATGGAGAAACGGACAAACTAGAACGGTAAGCAAGACTTCTGTGAGTGTCTGGTAAGTCGAAGAGTAACCAAGTTGGTCGCTGCTGTGAATGTGTTCAAGAACGACTGTGGTTGACAGACGTGTAAATATCAAGATGCACAAATCCGCATATGACTTTTTTACTTTACGTAGCAAGTCTTTGTGGATTTAAAAAAAGTACGTTCAAATGGGACAAGTCGCAGTGGGCTCGATGAACGTTGTGTGCACAATCCACCGATGACTGACATTCCAATCTTCCATAATACACGAGGAAAACCAACCTGGGGGTTATTGATCGCCGGAAAAGGAATCCCGATGGCAATCACCAGTCTGCCGTAGTCGTCGGTAAAATCGAGACCTTCGCTGACCTTGCCTCTGCACACGGCTAGTGCGAGCGCACCAGTCACTGATTCCCCTCTGAGACCTTTTATGGGAGATCCCCGTGTTGTGTCGACAGCTTCGTAAAATTCTGCAACCCAATCCTCAAAGCGTTCTGAAGATCGAGGCTCTCGGAGAACGCGTTTCACAAGCTCCAATTTGTCTAGGAGCCCGGTCAACTTTAAAAGAAACACTATTGAGGACGCAGCTGTGGTGGAACACGGGTCCGCTAAAATCGCACTTGCTAAAGTCGTCTACAATTCTGGCACTTGAATGGGTTTCACATTACATTCAATAATCCCTAGCTGTGCATAAGTTACAATTGCACTGACAGAAAAAGATGATCAAACACAGCCTATTTTACCACTTTATTTAAACATTACATCGGGTTTTCCCATAGAAAAAGTCTCTAAAACATAAACGGCATACTCCAACTAGGGAAAAGAACTTCCACAAGCAAAACATACGTTCGGATTATCACGAGCCAGAGATTTATACCATTCAAGTTCAGGACACGTGGATCGGTGCATCCGCTTTTGAAATGTATTCTAATGAGAGGTATCTACATTATTAATCGGTTGGCGGTGACTACTTTAGCATTATCAGTGAGGTTCGCACACAGCTAGTATGCGCATTGCATATCAAACCATGGGACAATAAATTAGAGATGCAAAGGAGACGGGTAACTACAAAACCGTACCTCCCAACGGGCAATCAGCTTGTCCATCAGTCCATAGGAAGGGAAAAAACACAACACTCCTCCGGGTACCTGCTGGCAAGCTTCCAGCACCAACTGACCCACGTCGTCTTGGAAGGTGAACACGTTCTGGTTGGCGTAGGTGGCGCATAGCCGGTTGCCTAGAGGGCCTCTCGAGACGGAAGCAGCAAAGACCCTATCGAGGGGGACCACGTGACTGGCCTCCAGGCGCACTGGGAACTCAAGGTTGAGTTCTGCAGCCATTGCATCGAGGGGGGAGAGAGTGCCACTGGCGAGGATTAGACAATGAACGGTAGATGCGATATTGGCCATACACACTGCCGGATTCAGACACCAGAAGTTAAGACTCAGGGTCTTGGACTCCACCAATCGCACCTTTTGACAACACAAAAATGGCCTAGTTGAGTGAACAGGCAAGCTGCTGACGGCAGAAATATGTTCATAATATGTTTTTGCTGACACAGGAGTCGGAACCACAAACTCTTTAAGCGAGACCTTAATTTGTGCAAGGTAGTGCTGCGGTGAGAATGATTCCATTCCTAAACAAACTTTACCTATAGTATTGAATAAATGACTTCCACCTTTGTGACCGTTTTTGAACTCCTCAACCTTGAGAACAAGCATATAACACTACTTTGGGAAAAAAAAGTCGGAATAGCTCCGATTACTAGCACAATCGGAATTTCATATGGATTACAAAAAGGGAATTCGAAAGACTAAGATCAACGAACCTTGGCGCTAGTTCGTCTGCTAAGCCACTTGCCGGCGCTGTTGGAATCCTCTGTGGGCAGAACATGATGTCTTTGTATGTCGCTAACTTCTGTCAGAACGGCTCTGTAGTCCTGAATTCGACGCATCTCATCACTGAAAGGAAGGATAAGCAAAATTGGAAAAGAATGCTAAAATGAAGGCATATTACGAAAAGGATAAACACTGCAAACTTGCAGCAGTAGTGTTACATTAACTGCCATAAAATTTCAAGTTATGCAAATTAGCATACATGGAATTTAAAAAAATGCAGCAACACTATTCTATTATCAATTTTGTAGGTAAACATTGAGGCGTCGTGTATAATAGGCAGCAAGTGCATCCTCGGCTTGAGAGTCCGCTGTGGGAGTCGGTGAAATGTACACAAATACCAAACAGTGGACGAACTTACGTGCAACTTTTAAGTGACTGTTGCTGACATAATGCTTAAAAACCTATGAGTTGATGAACAATATCTTTGACCGACTAATCACATTTGTGGAAGAATTTCTTATGCACCTACTATACACAACTATAAAGAGAAGCTTTAAGGAAAGCTGAATTTAAAAATTTTATGCATCTGTGGTCGATTTAAGTGACCTGGACAAACCATGGCCTTTTAGAACCTACTTGTACAGGAATTTGAGCATTATAAAAATGTAAGTGAAGAGCCGAAGAGTAGCGGAATTGGGGAACTGTGATTCATCCACCCTTGAGAGATTGTCCCGGTCAGTAACCGATTCTTTCTGAATATTGGCATTTAGTCGGTTGAAGCTCAGCTACAACACAAGAATCAGTAAATGAATCATTGCATAGCTGATGGTTTCGTAGTGACAATGTACCTTTAGACCTCTAACCTTAGTCTATTTGACAAACTGATACATATCTTGCTAATGAATTAAACAGCAGGAGATGGAGCTTTTCGCACTATTTCAGTAAAGGCGTCTACCAAAGCCAGTGCATTGCGCACACATCTAACAAAAAAGATAGCAGTGAAAAGCGGAAGTTATTGGTTGATTATGATATAAGTCAAGGAAACGTGCTTTTTAAGCGTCTTTTTGGAAGGGACACAAGCATAAAACCAAAAACGCTACACGATGATCCATTTTAAAGGTCTATATCTCTAAGGGGACGGGTTAAAAGGCATTCACGCCTTAATTGTTTCACTCATTTTTGACCATAGCCATGGACTTGAGAATGTCCCAATTAGGTTATGGTTTCTGAACAAAAAAGCATCTAAATGGATATTTCCTGGGTGCAGTTGACTGAAAGGTTATCTTCATGCTGCAAATAGATAGAAATCTAACGTTTCACTAACACAAATATTCACAATGAAAACAGATAATTTCAACACTAAATACCGCCTTATACTAGCTTGCTGTCATGCATTTCTAATATTAAACAGGAGCAAAACGCTCACTCAGCTCTGCACACCAGACATTACCCGCACGGCCTCAAATCGATCCGCGCCAAGCCCCACCGCAGACAAGAGACCCTCAATCTCAGCGCCAGACCAGACATGCGCTGAAGAGGTAAGACTCCCGGCCTGAACGAGACGCGAGCGTGTCAACTGCATCACTCGGTGGATAGCGCCGAGAAGATTTATGAGGGCAGTCACATCCTTGGCTAAAGTTCCCTCCACATTAGCCTTATTAAGATAGAGTTTTAGATCTTCCGAAGCCGCTAATACGTCTTTTTCTAATAACGTAACGGAGGTGGCGTCACGGGCAGCGTCTTCAATGTTGTGAGCTTCGTCAATTATGACCACGCTGCCGGCGAAGTCACTGGAAACCTACGTGACCAAGAAAAAGATACCAATTCACAATGCTTAACATAAGGAAATATATTGACAAAAAGCTTCGTCATCTCGCTTCCTTAAATGAATGAAAAGGTGCCTAAAATCTCGTTAAGTAATGCATCTTTGTCTTAATATCCTTCAATCGGCGGAAAACCACATTGACGCACTCGGAACGAAAATGTCCCTCACACGACCCGATCCAATGTGATAAGCAGTTAAAAACAAGTCAGCATACAACTTACTGTTTCCCGGAACACCGGGTCAAGGAGGTAGTTATATGGACAAAAGCAGATGGAAGCTCGCTCGAATAATTTGAAGGCAAAGAAGTACGGACAAGTTGGTACTTTAGACAGAGTCTCCACATAGTCCTCGAGATCCCAGGATCCAGCCTGATTTAATGTTTGTACACTGCTCATCAAAAGTTTACGATTTTTCGCCTGATCATAGGGACAAGTACCCTTCTACACAGAAGTACTTTTAGGATGTTTCAACAGAAATAAACGTACCAAGTTTTGGCAAGCATCATTTGCATTCGCTTGTTTGCGAACTTCAAGGTTTATACACGAATGCTTCCTACTGCTGAGAATGCACATTCTAAATTTTAGTGTAGGCGAGCAAATTGAACTACTTTACGCCGGCATATCTTGTCTTACGCATTTCCCGAACAACTTGAGAAATCTGTTTGTGAGTACGAGTTGCATAGATTATGCGAGGAACTTGTCTACAGTAGGTGCGTAATACTGAGTTACAAAAAAACAAACCCAAATTTCTTGCCCTCTTGGGTTTCAACCGCACCGCAGGTGCAGACAGCCTCTGCATCCGGAATTTTATCCTCTATGAAGCTTCCAAAATCTTCGTCTTGATAAAATAAGTGATTCGATAGATTGACTTACCCTGCTCATGCGGAGTGGTTGAAAGTAAGTCACATGATTTGAGATGAACTACCTCGTCTGAAGTTGGTTAAGTATAACTAAGCATCAAGTAAACATACTTGAATCAGCAACACCTGAGCATTTACCTAAGTAACATAAATTAGGTACCCTGCGAAGTACCTGCTTGGTATTCAGCCCAAGCGAGAGACGCACAAAGAAGAGCTAGGGTTTTTCCTGTTCCAGTGGGAGATTCCAGCAGGCAACACTGTTTATTGTTAAGAGCAGTTATCACACGATTTAGCATAGAAAGCTGGCAACTATAAGGCTTGTAGGGAAAGTGTACAGGGACCCCTTGAATCTTTAGATCCATATCAATCCCTAAAAACGAATGTACCAAAGTTATACAAAACTACAAATAGATCTAGTCCAAAAGCGTGTTTAGCGCCCTTAATTCAGAATTGTATGGAAAAAGAATGAATGAAAGAATGAAATTTTGGATTGATCTCGATTTCAACTGCACATGAAATTGCCCCCCATGTGGGTTTATGGTAGTAGAGAAGTTCACGTTTAATTGGCCCTCTGAGGCAGTACCACTAACCAAACGAGATAGCCAAACTAATCGCAACAAGTTAAAAACAAAGTTATGAAAAAAGTCCCAAAGAAGATTCTGACATTTACTTGAAAACGGCTGCATCAGAGCCAATATAATCAGGGGATAAGACCACTATTCATGAATTATTATGCTTGAGGTGAAAAAAAAATTCCTTAAAACAGTGTCTATACGTCTGGAGAGGCATTAATTTCAATAGAATGACAATAGGGACGTAAATGCAAGCGTTGTTCGTCACTATGGAGTGGCAACGATACTAACCATTCCTAGGTCTTTAAAAGGGGTATTACTAACAAAAGCAACATATTTTATAGAAAATACAATTTTCACATGAATTCCTTTCCTTCGGTATTTAGAGGTTAAGCATTCGAAAAAAACGTTGTGTCCTTAAGAAAATCTTAACAAGAATCAACATTAGGTGAGTGAAAGAACCATACAAAAGTATTGATTGAATGCCAATTAATGTACCCCATGCTGAAATTTACCTCCAGGACAGCCTTCTAATGCTGTCCTCTAAAAATTAACAAACGCAATTCTCACACACTCAAAAAATAGGGAATCTGGCGCGTGACCAATTATGCAGCTAAACAAACTTTTATTTTGATGGTTTGGTTTAAGCCCTTAATATTACTTTGTGGCTATTACAGAACATATTTTGTTATAAAACTGTATTAATGTATATTAAAAAATTAAATATATGGTAATTGGGCTAAGGTCACTTTGGTCTTAACTAAATATTTCTAATTAAATACATTGACCATCTTTGTCTAGCTAATCATTTGAAATAAACTATTTAACTTTGATGTCGCTTCAATAAGTTAACATGGTAAAGGTAAGTTAAGGTACATGGTTTCGTTCTGATGGCCCATATTTACCCGAATCGACACCTCACCATCTGCTGCAACCTAGACCATGTCTGATAACAGCAATAATTGGTTTCCTTTACGTGTTTAAATCGAATAAGATTTTAGACACCATTAAATATTTTTTTGCATTTAGTTAATTGTCTGTAGAATCGCATGTGCAAAAATGCTCTCGAAACTGTTTACCTCGAGTTAACGTCTTTCCACAAAAATAGACAAGCCATTTATCGATCAACAAATTTTGGTCTTGAATTGTTGGGTGGCTCCATTAATTTTTCTTTTTGCTATGTGGCCACTTCAGATCACTATCCGATGTGGTTAGCTATCCCCATCAAGGCTTCCACCGTTTTGAATGCATTAAAATGCCATACAGCCTTTACACATTACCACTGGCTGTTAATATTTCAATTAATTTACTATTCCTCATTATTGCTGTCAATTTCTGTCACCTTTACTCTTCAATTGGTCTCTAACCCTTCGTAAATTTGCTCACAAGAAGAAGAAATTCCGTCATTCATTATTATTGACGTCATTGAAGTATTTTAAAGTTCAACATGCGTCCATGCCGTATAACTTGTGGACGATACTATCTTAAGTTTAACGACTTTACAAACTTGTTCTGCCATAAGTTTCCCAAATGAGATAATTACATGCTCGCCAACTTCCAATTTTTAGAGGTGTAATTAATTGTGCTAATTTACGCACATTAACCCATTCGTCGCATCCCCCATTCAACTGAGTCCTACATTGTTAGTCCATATCTGTGGTCGTAAAACTCATCGATTTACAGAAACCTACTTGCTGAATCTAGTCGCGAAAACACATGCCCAGTATCCAATTTTAATGGGCGAACCACAGACCACTAAAGTTCAGATAATGCAACTTTATGAAGCTTTTAGCAAAATTCTACTGTAAAGACCGAGTCCCTTTATAGGTCTTGAAAATGCAAACACTGAATACTCCTCCTGGCAACATTACTTATGCAGCAAGAATCATGCATTAAAAAACCGCCGAATTTCTGGTAGACACACCTTTCAAATCACCGTAAATTTTGAGAGGCGCATTTCGCAGCTACCTTTTTGAAAATTGTGTACGCAATAAATACTAAAACGAATTCTCCCAAACCACCAAAATTCAAATAGATATTAATCTCCACAAATAGGAAAACATGATCAGAAATAAAAATCGAGAAAAGGGAATTTATTTCAGATCACAGAACGGAGATTTCCACTATGCAACTGCACCAACCAGCTTAATTTCTCTTTCGTACAGTTTGGACAACTGCGATTCCAGCTGCAATTACAAAATAAAAGTGTATAATATAGGTCATGGACTATTACAAGACGGTTTTAAAATTTGGGCAATATACGATAGCAACAGCTGAAATAAACTGTTAAAGGTAATGTCTCGGACAATCGCACCTGCATGGAAGTATTTAACGTTGAATATTTACGCGAAAAGACAGATCAACGACACCAAGCAACTTTATCAAATTATTAGTGTCCGCATTCTTTGTATGGAAAATGTGAAGTAAAGGTCTAACAATTTTTTCCTGTTTAGTGCGAAACGGTGAACCTGATAAGTTCAGTTAACTCACAAAAGAAACGAGATTTTTCCGCTCTTGCAGGAGGTTATTTATTTCTGTGTGGAGCGTAAGAAGTTCACCATTAGCCTGATCAATGGATGCCGTCAATTCGGTGACTTTGGCGCGCGATCTGTCAGCTTGCTGTTTAAGGTCCTGCATTCTGCTGATAAGGCGCTCAAGGTAACTTGGCTGTAGCCGAAGAAGAGCCAGGTGGGTTATCGTCCTGAAAAATATGGACGGATAAATGTGTTATTTGGAAGTGGCCTTGTTAAATAACAGCACGTGGCAAGAATGGAATCTACCGTCAAACTATCCTGGACTCAGACACACGGATGCCAGAAACCTAGGTCCTCAGAGGACACCGATGCTGTGACTTCGATCTTGACGGGAATCGAAATTTGCAGCTAAGATGACAGATTTCGAACGTATAAAGGGACTGTGATTGGGACAAAAAGAAATGGTAAAATTGGGCGCCAGATTTTGAGTGTTTGATATAAATAGATTACTTTGCATCGAACCGCTGAAGTTAATCATAAAAGTTATTGAAACAGATCTCGGAGCTGGTACCTCTACTATTGGAAACATGAGATTAGTCTATTTAAGAAAAAAATTAGATCAGAGATTTGAAATTTTGAGGCACCGACAAAGTTAGCGAAGGAGAACCATTATGTAGAAGTGAAGACACGAAAAGGCTAACAGGAGATTCGAAACTCACTCGTTCGTTATTTCATCAAAAGCCTTTTGGACAGCCGACGACATAGAATCGAGATTGTCTAAAGACATTGGATAAATCTCGGCGGGAGCATCCTGAGTAAAAAAGGCAATGGGAGAATCCTGAAAACCCGGTCACAACCAGTAAAGTGCAGCTCCAGATATAAATAGGCATTCTCTTTATGTGTTGTAGTCTAATTAATCCACATTTGTCTTGTTGTAAGAGCAAAACTGGTAGACAAATTCCCAAGACATGAAGCGAATTCGGGAGAGTGAGATTACGATTAAGCATAACATAAATGGATGAGGCCTCTTTTTGATGGGTCAATAACAAATTCACATCGGTTTTTAAATTAGTAGCCGAAAAACAAAAATGAGCAGAAATCAAGCAGGATCCCAAGAAACCTACACTTGTGTGACAGAAAATGAAATTAACAAACCGATCCAAGCACAATCCGGGATAGCAGATTCGGTCATTTTGTGCAACTGTTTTTTCAAAACCAAATCAAATTTTTGGACTAAATCTTCCTAAGAAATGTAGTATCCCATAAAAATTGGCTCCCAACAGTTACTATACTAGGTCAGTTTCGGTTGAATAATAAAAGTATGTAGGTGCGTGTAGTTCCTCATTGAAAGGCCCGAAATTGTGCAAATCACCGGCAAAATATGCCTCACACGGGTACCCAAAATAGGTGCATGAAAAAGAACGAGACTGTGGTGCTAATCTGTTTCCATCTTTGCAAAATCGGTGCTTTATGAGACGGATACACGAGAGGAAGTCATCCTTTCTGGGGCACAAAATAAGCAATGACTGGAAAGGAATGGCACTGGGATAAGTAACTCACCTGCATTATTTGGTGGTAGATTGGCGTGAGGGCATCAACGCTGATACCACCAGTCGTTTTTTTCTTAGCCTCAGGGGCGTGAGAATCATCAGCCTGGAAATCGAAATGATTCTCCTTGATGCGGAGCAAAAAAGTGGTTAACTCCTCAAGGTCATTGATGAGGGCGTTTCGACCCTCGGAGGTGTCTAATAGGAGACGAGCATCTGGTCCTACGGCCATAGCCTTGCCAGTCATCTGGGGAGATGAACCATGATCAGCTCCTCCTCCAAGGGTGACATCATGCAAATCAATGACATCGATATCGCCGAGTAGATCGGTGCCAAAATCAATTTCAGAGAGATCAGCTTCACTCTCCACGTCCAGAGCACCAAGCTACAACGAGAGGAAAAGTCTAGAACTCGAATTTTTATAAATGCATTGGGAAGGTCGCCCATTGATTAACTACAGTATGATTAGTTCAGGATAACTGGATATATTAGATTACAATTCTACCTCTCCGTTTAAACTAAATTCAGTCATTGGAGTTTATAAACAACAATAAAGCTGCTCGAACGTCTTTTTAACGTAACTTCAAAATGCATAATTGCTTACGTAATGCTGTAAAACACCCAATCGCGCGTAACCATTGTTAAATTCGACAGACTTGCCATAAAAACGCCAATCACCAAGCATTTCACATGCCACTCATATTAATGATGACCAGCCAAAACCTGCAAACTTCGACAGAGAATTAATCCTGAATTAGCTAGACGCCTCATATCCTTGGTATAAATGCTTCAGATTGAAACTTAAAAGTGCATCCATATTGAAAAATTAAAAGGAAAATGATTGAGTAGCGTGACTTTCCAGTACCGACATGTTTCGCATGACGTTTTTTTTCGATTGTCGGTTTTGAGGAAATAAGATCCAACGTGCATAAACATCTTGTCGTCTCACATCGTTAAACAACATAATTGCAAATAACTAACATCAATTTCCTGATCGTCGATCAGAGCCTCTTTTTTCATAGCTTCAACATTTTGCCTCTCTCGTTCAAGCATCGTTGGTAGGTAGTCATCACTTGCACCAACACTGGTTGGTGGGTTTCCGGTTCGCCATTCGTAGACAGTGACATGACCACACTTGATTAGAAGACGGAGGGTAGAGCAGACCTGAGCACCACTTCTACTGCTACAAATTTACAACGTGACAAGATCAACGTGAACTCACTTCTCCGGGTTGACATAGGAGATGAAAGCCGTGTAAAAGTCCAATACCGGTGAAAGTGATTTCAATTTCAGTACATAGTCATCGAGGATGTCTGGAAGGGTACTAGCTTTCTCCAACAATTGCAGTCGAGCATGTTCATCTTTTATGTCAAATTGTTTGCGAAATCTTTCAAGTTCAGACTCTTTAGATTGCTGGTTTGAAGTAAACTCGACAACTTTTCGCTGCAAATCCTATGTAAAGGTTGATTCTGGGATATCAGTTAGAGCATACATTAATTAACTTTTGGCGATCTGCAATTGCTGCTTTGCACTTAGGCAATTGAAAACAAACATCGTTTAACCGCTCAGAAACCTCAGCTACAAATCAAATGTGTGCATGAAATATAATCCCAGTGACTTACCAAGATTTATGTGTTCAGATTCATAGCATGAAACAATATTTCTCCATGTCTGCATTATCAAAGATAATGTTGTTCGAAACACAACGTACCCGAACAGAAGCACTTGCACGTCCCAGAAAGTCTTTAGTTGTTTCGGTTTGTTCCAGATGATTAAGAACAGCAAGCGCAAAGAAGTACTGCACTAAATGTATTAAAGCAGTTATAAGATAGCAGTGGCAGAGACTCACTGAAGCCAAAAAATGGAGTCTATCATACGGTAGCGTCACGTTTGTTAAACCAGCGAAAAATGCTGGAACTACGGATCAACAACATCAATATCCGGAAATTCGAAAGAGGTCAGTAACTAACACTGCAGCATTTTGTAATACATCATGGCGTAAACGTAGCCTTACCCAAGGGATTGTGAAGTTTAACACACGAGCAAGATTAACCAGAACCAATCATAACCAATTTAAAGTTAAAGTGACACTGGGAAATTTACAGAGGTGAACCATAGTCCCGGGGGCTGTTGGACGCCAGCAAAACGTCAATATCGAGCAGAAGAAAAAAAACAACTAGAATTTAAAATAAGTCTTCTTTAACGGCAGAACTGATTATACCTCACAAAGTAAATAACTCATGAATTTGAACCGCAATTTTCATGTCGAAATTTCACCAGAAGTACACCACGATTTTAAAATTATCATACAAACCCTAAAGGCGCTCATGTTAATTAAACTCCTCTTAAAAAACCAGTAAAATATAGGAAGAATGACCCGCCAGGCGACGTTCAGATATGAAACTAAACATCAATCAATTAGAAAAAAAACTATATTTAAGAAAGATGACGAAAAGTTAGGCAGAACGCTGTGCGAAACCAATAAACGAGTTGTCTTCGAAGGAATACATGGTAAAATTGTGACAAAGTTCCTAGCAATGGTCGTGGTAAAATGATGATTGGGTTTAGTGCAGCCCCGCCTTAGATAATAAGAAGGGTGGTTTCTTGCAACACTCAAGGTAAAAATGAGACAAAAGGTAAATATTCTTTAGTACTAGTCGGCACATTCATCTGAAACTAATAATATCGTAGATAACGAGATACAGGCATAAGGGTGACCGAAATAAAGCATAAATAATTAACCACGAGCTCAACGGAAAAAACAACGGTGCTAAAAATTTAATTGAAATTTTACAACAAAGGAAACCATAGGTATCAATAACACAATAATTAAGTGCGGGCACCTGGTTGAACTTCAATGTCTTTGATTTTTTCGGGCGACGATTTAGAGAATTCTTCAATCTTTTTTGATATTGAGGTCAATGACTTCATGTAACTTTTCGAAATGACATTTCGTTCTACAAGCCATGCTAAAATATCAACAGTAGACGTAAATCCAAAAATTACGTATCAGCTTCTGCGATTGCACAGAAATGGGGGGTGGCATACGTTTTGGCGCTTAAATAAGCCGGTCCAATTAAAAACGAAGTAAAAGCAAATCGTGAGTTGTGTACTCGCCTATGGAACACGAAAATAACCGGCAGTTGGCCTAGACAAGGTCAGCTTATAAGACGGGGCAAGGAATTTGATTTTACCCATGAAGTTGCAGCCATTTGCTTGAGGCTACCTGTAGAAATCATTTTTTTGCTACGAGATTTATTTGCATAATTTGCTGTTTGCATTATAATGCCGCGATATTTTTCTCCTGCTGATTTTCAAAGTTCGACTTATTATACACAGTTGTCAACGTCAACAAGGACAAAAGGAATGAGGAAATTGTGAAATCCATTAGATTTTTCTGTGTCAAGAGATGGTTATTTAGGCTTTAATGCTGGGATTTAATACGTGCCCTCAGCCACAGATCAGGAAAAGAAGTGTTGCACCTAATGAGAAGCTGATGATTTTAGTAAGAATACTGACAAGAAATTACCACATTTATTAACGATTTTCGTTACTAAAACAGTTTTTTCTTTTGTGTTCAAGAATGTAAATGCTGTACTATGTACCAGCCATATTCAGCTGGGTTTCTTTTTGCTGCATGAATGGCCTGGACTTTCATGTGGCTTCCACCAGCGATTAGTTTTTACTTATGTTTCTGAAATTTAAGCCGATTTCAGTGACAGCAAACTGGTCATTAAGAAAGCCATATATGTCTACTAAGAATGAGAATGTCATAAGGTGCTCCATCTAAAATGCGAAATCTGTTAACATCGTCTACACTTGTACATGTCATCTGGTGAGTTAGAGTAAAATAAGAGATGTCTTCGGTAATGCGAAAAATTTCGAAGACTATTTTCACCAATGAGAAATGGTACTCAGGACCCGATTCGGCACATTTTTTGCCCAGCTTAGAGATTTCTGATCTGAAAATTGAAATCACAAAATTTTCTATTTACGGTTTCGTTATGTGGTCATCATAGAAAAGATATCAGTGTCTTTCTCTTTCTCGGTAGACAAATGTCGACCTATCCCTCACATTCATTATGTCATTTCATAATTGACGACGCACTTGTTTAGTTCTAATTTCTCCCCGTATTTTGAATGCTCACGAGGGCTTAGTGAGCGTTGAATTGTTAAGCACGTTTTTCGGTTTTATGCAGGAGTGGACAAAGTTTCTCCAGTCTAAAAATTTAAAAAAGCAGATGATTTGGTTTATGATTGCTTGGCCACCACATCAACAATGCAGCCGGATTACCTAAACAAAGCAATGCAATTTGGATCTTATTAATAGAGATCATAAAGTCATTCACGAATAGGAAATTATTTTCTTAGTTCTTATTCAATTTGGACAAAACGTGTTGAAACTTATTTAATGATGGCATTAGTGAAAATGTACCCAAATTAACATCGTAGATTGAAACGTAAAGAGAATAGCGTAGTGACTAGTAATCTGGGTTAGGCAGCGGGGTATGACACCTAATCTGAATAATTTTTAGTGCATTTGAGTCTCAAGTTGGCGGAGAAAGCGATAATTTCTTTAACTCCATGTTTTCTGTCATCTGGTGTTTTGCCTCAAGCAAATTTACTTCTGTGGGAGAGAACGCTGAATCAGCAAATGGAAGAGTAATTTATTTGATATTTAATGCAGGAACCTTCTTCACTTTAATGATGTAGAGATTTAATAGTACCATATTTCAGCTATGCATAAGCCTTCAAGACAAGGCGGGTAACAAGAACTAAAATCAGTGGCTAATGACCACAACCTAGACAGCGCTTGATTTCCAATAATTGTGTCCATTTTAGTTACCAGCCCAAATTCTGTGGGATATCGTTGTCCATTATTTGATAGACCCTTCATTATGAGTGATATAACTGTCATCGCTTCCCCATTATTAGGTGCAGTAATGATATCGTTATATTTAATTGCTACGTATATGCACGAGGCATGTCAGTGCATTAGCAGTTGTTTCAATACTTAATGTCAATATGTTTGTGGGACCTACCTGTTTTTTTCAATTAATAATCACACAGAACACCTGCAAAATTACTAGACTGGGGTCATTTATCTCGAATGTTACTAAAATTTGTTTGTTTCAACTGGTCACCTTTTAATTCTCTTAAGCCTTCTATTGACTTCAGCTGTCATTAATGAAACATTCTCATCTTATTGGATTAATAGCTAATATCTCCAGAGTTGTCTAACTTAAAATAGAATATTTGTCAGAGGACACTGGCTGCACTCATTTAACCATTTTGCCACTAACATTAACAAAACAAGTCGAAACAAACTTAAGTAGTAAATATAGAATTCAGTAGAGCTAGAAAACAAAGTGCCAAAATGGTGTCCCGCATGTAAAGATTTGCGTGTGATTATGTTTTGTTAAAATATCCGAAAGTTAACAAAGTCTTCATTTTTCATTCATCCATGGCTCCATCTGCAATTGACTCTGGTACTAAAATTATGCATTTTGTTCACAATAACCCAAACGCTTTTTCGTCCGCTTAGCCGAATGTTGAAATTCAAGATCACTTACATTTCTTGTGCCCCACATGAACAAGAGTAGACGGGAATATAGTGACGAATTACCTGAATAATTTACTTACATCCGCTTCGCCAAAATCGGACAGACTGACCCAATTCAGACATTCAAGCCATCCACAACAACTTCGCCAACGTTGCATGTCAAGTGGTAACAAAGACCTGTCAAGTTTTCGGTGGCATATATGCTAATAAGATGCCTAGAGTAGGAAGACCGAATACCTCACTCAACCACTTCTGCATGCAAAATCAAGTGCATAAAAAAGACTACACTGACTGATTGTGTTTAGGTTAGGATATTAATGTGTTTGAAATCTTATAAAATTTTTGGAAGTTAACTTCTCTATCCGCGACTTTGATCATGGACCATGGAACTCACCTGACAGAATTTATTTCCAGCTTCCCCATCAAAACACTTTTGAAAAAAATTACTTTAACGTATTTTTCGCTGTTCGTTTAATTCTACTGACGTCCAGCAAAGGTTTCTGTTTTTTAAGTAGACCAGAAAATTGCCTAACCTTTGAGTCAGGACCACCAGTGGGCTTTTAAGACCCTCCTTATTTTTTTATTCTTTGCGATGCAATTAGCTCACCCTCTGAAGAACTTCTGATGTCCTTATAAGACCGAATCTTTCAAAGGCGACTGGTCCCGAACGTATATTGTTCTATTTCTTCTTAAATCAAACAAACTTAGCCCTGAAAAAAAATACAGATATGGTGGTTAATAAATTTTGCTAAATCTGCCGTCGTCCGCCAAAACCTTCCTCAGAATGAGATCGCGACCTCATTTTCCATTCCCAAAGTTACGGTTACCTTTGGTTATAATCATTATGGTACTATTGATCTTTGCAATTGTAGGCAGCGCCTAGTTCAAGTACCGGAATAGATTATGCAAATCAGGGGTAACAGACAACTCCGCATAGCATAGCGGAAGGTGGCCCCAAAACGATAGATGCCAACCACTAAAAAGCATCCCAGGCTTAATGACCACACCCTCGCGCCTACAGGAGACAGAGGACAAGCTGAAGCACACTCACACTCGCTCAAAGAACTTCTTCTTTCCGAATCCCAAAAAAGGAGGGGTTACAGTTTAAAAGGTCCCAGACAAGGCTATTTGTGGACATTTAAATCAATTTCTGCCTAATCTGGAGGCTTGCATTTATGTAAATAACGTTGACCAGGGACTGTGTTCCTTCTGCGTTTATGAGGTTATGTGCGCATCGACACAATCCCTAGAAACTGAGTAATGTTTTATTAGCATAATGTGTTGTTAACATCGCCAAGAGTAGTTTTACCAATTATTATCCCAACATTAGTGCTGCACCATTATTTGGTTTTGACAATTGTTAGAAACTTTAAACAAAGAGCACAAATCCGACGTATGGCACTGAATTTTCGACATTCAGCTAGAACCGAAAATAGTTGTCTAGCTTAAAGTTAGGCGAACTCTTTACAAACGCAGTTTCCTTGAAATGGTTTAGTCCTGAACAAATCCATTAGCACCACAAATCGGACTATAATGGAACTCCATTACATATGCCTGATTGGTTTTTTTATTTCAGAATATATTTATCTGAAACCTAACATAGTATCAAAAACTGGTGTTGCAGAAGAGGCAAGGGAATTTCACGTGAACTGCAACCTCAAATCATTCTGCTTTTTACTGTCAAGTTTGTAACTACTAGGTCAGATGTTCTTGCTGTTCGTTTAAAAAGCAGCTGACCGAAATGAAGATTCCAGTAACTTTTTTACAAAGCAAATTTAAGGGTCGTGGTTGAAAAAGTCAAAATTTTTTAGTAAGTCATGAAAAATTATTTTGAGCAATAGTTTAAACGTAAGAGGTCACCCGCACCATCACGAAATATTGACATGAAATAACGTGTCTAGCCCCTTCCAGCACGCCCTCAAAACTCCGGGAACCCAAGCTCAGAGTTCGAAGGCCATTGGAGCAATCGTGTCCCAGCGATGCGCGGCGAATCATGCTGTTTCACGTCTATTATCTTCGTCGCCACAGCATCCCAACGATGCACCCTTTTCGCAGCGTGCCCACCAGCCACACGGGACAGTCTGTTCACAGCCCCCGTGAATGCACCCCCACTGCCACTCACTCAATTCACCGGGTCATTCGGCCGATTGTACTTTTACAAGTTCACCTAGACTCAACTGGTCAAGAGTCCCAGTAGTCAGACGCGGCGGTGGCACAGCGGCGCAATAATCACACCAACGTTGAGCTAAGCCGTAAAGGGTTGTCTCCACCACCTCCAGGCTTCTTCATCATCCCGAGTAGCAGTATAGCGTAATCCGGCCAAACATAACGTGACGGTGTGGTTCGAGATCATATGGTGTCGCTTACACCAAATGCATAGTAATGGCCTGGAAGATAACCCACTGGTATGTTCTTAATAAATAAGGCTTGCCAATGTCTGGCGTATCGATTAGCTGAGAGAATCGGACCCTTATACTTTCAGTCCTATTAACGCGAATTAATTATTTGTTTTCATTTCAACCTAAATTTACGACCAAATAGTTTAAATTTCACTTTATGTGTTTGCTTGTGTATAGTAAACACTGCTACACCGTGACCAACATGGTATCCTGGCGGTGAGATTTGCTGCCGTGGCAGAACCTCGTCTGCCACTGTGGAGTGGTCTTTGGCAAATACGCTTAAAGTGCCAAAGGAACACAACCTAGCTCCATGGTTTGAAATATCTTGGCACTCAGTTACGTAATATTAAATTGTTTAAAGAAAGTCGGTAAAAATTTTAAATATATGATGGTCGAGCCAGTGTGATTTGGTTGGAATTTGGACAGGTGACCCACCAAAATCAGAACGTAAACACGTCCAACTCGCTGCTCGTACTACTCTCAATTTTTTTTAAAACGACAACAACTACTACTAAGGAGTAGTAATACTGGGTCAACAGCCCTCACGGGCTTAGTGCACCCTGAATGTAAAATTGATTGAAACTGAAAAGTATACAGTTATTAGGTAGAATCAAAGGTGTACGTTGGTCTGCAATGTCAATAAAATTTCTCCTACAGTGTTAAAGCTATGTCTAAAATGAATCGGGTTAGGGCAAATTCTGCGCAATTCCCACACACCAATCAGATTGGTATGCAGTACAGAGGGCAAGCTTAGAAAACATTAGTGAATTTACATTGAGACTGAATTTCCAGGCAAGTTTTTTCTCCTATGCAACTCATGCATTTTGAAACATTCCCCGTTACTCTTATGCAGGATTTGCTTTAATAAAAACGGGACTTAGCAGTGCTTTGAGATAAACAGGTCCTTTAGATTCAAAAGATCTTGCATCAACTCATAAATCATTCCTTAATACGTAATAACTAGCTTCATATTGCTAACTGCAAATGGTAATGCAGCGGTTGCATTTGTTGAAAACGGCCCGTTTTAAGAAATCATTTGACTGATTTGCTTACAGTAGGATTACTGAGAGTTTAAAACCACTACATGATTTAACAAAGTGGCTGCTCCTATATACTACTTGCTTTATTCGCAAAGATCAGTAAGGTAGAACCGAAGGTATGACAAAATGAGAATGCTGAATAAGCATCTTGCCTGGAACCAGGCCACCACTGGACTCTCTTCTCACTGGGTCTAAATACTGTAGGGTGATTTTTTTATGCCGTACAAATCACATGTGTAAACACTCGCGGTCATTATTCACTTGATTTTAAAATTAAATGCAGATTTTTTAAAGGAAATTAAAGAACCCGTCCTTAAAAATTGTGTTAACATATCCACAAAGCCATTCGAGTGCGTCTTCAGTTACGTGAGTCAGGCATGCTTCTTTGCCTTGCGTTATTTCGTGAAGGCTTGTAAACTATTGTAAATTTGCTAAAATGAAATTCTAATTTTATCCAAACAATAACTGATTTTCCGTTCGTGTGAAATACCTGCAATGTCACAACCATGCAAAATTAATATTTGCTAGTTCCCGAACTTCAACGGATCTAGTCGACACAGAAATGTACAAAAATTAGTTGTCACTTGGATCGATAACCCTCGGTTAAACTTCTTCGAGTCAAATTTCAAACACGAGGCTCACTTGGACTTCAATCATCCAAATGAAAGTAAATGTAGGCCATTCGTCTGAAATCATTTACACTTAAATTTTTTTATTATTATTGACTAATTTGTCTTTTTTTAAAAATGAGCAAATAGAGTAGGTCAACCTGCATTTTGTTTTTTGCGTAGTTGGCCTCAGGTTATGCACTCAGACAATTGAACCCAGGTTATTATAAACCAGGTATACTTTAAACACATAAGCTCCCGCTTCGGTCATCCTACTGAAAATCTTAAACCTCAATTTTAGTTTTGAGCTCTTATTAACAACACACAAATGTACGGATTAATGTTGCTCAGCCTATTTAAAAATGTCACGTTAGTTAAACATTTAAAACAACTTATAAGTTAATTGGTAAATGCAAATTCCATTGATTAATTTACACTTTTTATGAAACTTACTGATAGCAAAGAGTGTGCTTCGTAATCTGATGCGTTTGTTTACCTGGGCGCGAGTGGATAAGTTATTAATGTAGCACTTAAGTTCGAGTATATTTATTGGCGCTGGTACGGTAAAGTCAAAATAAACCTAAGAAATACAGAGGACTATGCACCTTAAATACACTAACGCTTTCGGTCAAATTCTCCCCTAGATTTTACTTGTTTGTTTTAACATTGTGTGACTGTCAACTAGGCGCATTCAACTAGCGTATTTAAATGAACAGCGTTTTTTTTATGTAGAAGGATATTGTTGTAAAGAAATATGTTTAGCAGCATAAATTATCTATGAACGGTCCCTGACGCCTTTGATGGCATTTTTACATGTTTTGCCCAAGTTCCAATTCTCTGGCTAGCAAAACCGAATTATCAGAGGTGTCGTTAAAGGAAGTGTCATTGTACCATTGAAGTTGTGCGTGCACACTAGAGTCATTTGCTGAGAATTTCATAGAATGATGGAGCACAACTGGTAACCGCACATTTAATCTCAAATGTTAGTGAACACAACTTTCTAACTTACAAATTAACAATTATGTGCATTGGCCATTATTATTGTTGTTAATTTATGCGGTTAGGTTTTTTAAGGAAGAGCAAAAAATAATGTTTGACTAGCAGTGACCGTTAATTTTTTTAGACAGCAACTTATTATCTTTCCGTTATTTATTAATTCGTAATAGCGGTCCGTCGGGCGTGTTGTCAGTGGCAGCTGTTTCACAGTTGATTGGTTCGAATTATGGCCAATAAACAGCTTGTTTGGTAAGTGACCAATCACAACGTTGCCGTGAGGACGGCCCGTCTTGTACGCTCGACGGTGCTTTCCAGGGTGCCTCGTCAGGCGTAAAAAATGCAAAAGTCCTCCTACCAGATGGTAGCCGCCGGTCGACTGGTAATTGTATTTCTGAGTTTTATCCACACTGGTTTGTGCCAAAGACGACTTCACGCGCAATTTTCACTTGGAGACAACACTGAGAGTGGCTACCGTGTTGGAAATCTACTCGCCAACCGCCCCAACAGCTCACCTTATGGCCAAGAATTTCTTTCGACTATGGTTAAACCAGACGAAGACTTTCGAGTTGACATCAATGGAGACATTATAACAAATCACGCTCTTGACCGCGACGTCCTTTGTGGTAAACTTGAATGTTGTGATCGCCCGATTTGTTATATGCATGTAGAAGCCTACTTCTTCACATCCAGTGTACAGCCACTAGTATTTAACGTAACTTTCATTATTTCTGATGAAAATGACAATTCGCCAAAGTTTGACATTGTTCAGGAGACCTTACTGAAGGTGCCCACTTGGATACCTGACCATTATCGAGCACTCCCATTTCTTCAATTGTCAGTCCACGAGTCATCAAAGGGAAGCACTAAAATAATCCTCCCCCTAGCGAGCGACCTCGATTCTCCTGATTTCGGCATTAGTTCTTATGACCTTCAAACACTCCATGTGAATAGCACTTCTTCTGGCAGTACATTCCGGTTAGCCCATGAGAGACCTCGTTCTGGTCCTGAAACCCTCACCCTGATTGCTGGTCGAAGTCTTGACCGTGAAGAGCAGGAGGAATACTGGTTTATACTGACAGCACTGGGTAATGGGTCCCCCCTTCTCTCCGGTAGCCTGCTGCTTCGAGTTCAGGTTGACGACATAAATGACCACGTACCACTTTTCCAAAATCCGCCCACAAAATCTGGCCATGCGATTGAACTTCCCGAAAATACACCCGTAGGTAGAGTAGTTTATACGTTTAAAGCGATCGATCTAGACACGGGAGATAATGGAAAGATAACTTATGGGATTCACTACGGTTCCAGCCTGCCGAGGATTCCAGATCTTGCCAACATGTGGGCATTAGACCCAGTAACTGGCAATCTGTCTGTTGCCGGGGTTCTCGATTATGAAAATAAAGAATGCAGAAAATTTAAGTTGACTGTGCTCGCCAAGGACGCTGGAATTCCTTCATTAACAGCGACAGCGACTATCATGATACGAATAACCGACTTGAATGATAACGCGCCCAGCATTGAAGCCAAATCTACTGGAGAACAAGGTGGGGCGTTAAAGCGTTTTGATATTGAAGAAAATGACAATGAATCAAGACTAATCAAACTCATATCCGTTAGTGATGCAGATTCTCATTCCAAAGACAGCATTTCGTGTAGCATTACTAACAAAGACAGTGGATTTTTCCTCCGAAAGTACAATCCCCAACTCTATGGTGTAGTCAATAGTCGGGCATTTGATTTTGAACAGGATGCCGATGAAGAGGGCAACCTAAATGTTGACCTCTCTTGTTCAGATCATGCTAAGCCTTCACTAACCTCAAAGATTACCGTTAAGGTACGCCTTAGGGATCTGAATGACAACTGGCCACAATTCGAGCATCAAACCTACGTCTTTAATGTATATGAAGATGTACCGGTTGGTTCTGAAATTGGCAGGATAATTGCTCAGGACTCCGATAGCGGTCCAAGGGGAAAACTAACCTATTGGCTCAGCGCTGACGACCCAGATGACCTTAAATTCGTGAAAATAGACAAGGAAACAGGAAAACTGAAAACAAAAGTCCCTCTAGACAGAGAAGAAAAAGATATTCTCCGATTTCGCGTGACGGCTGCTGATGGAGGAAGTCAAGATGTACGGGAGTTAGATCAAATTCCAAGAGATTCAAACGCGAATACGACAAGCCTCATAATCCACCTATTAGACGTAAACGACAACGCGCCAAAGTATACCGGTGAAAAAGTGATTCATGTGCGGGAAAATAACGAGAAAGGGCATGTGATTCTAGACACTCTGCTTTTTCAAGATGACGATTTGGGTGAAAATGGGACGGTGAAGTTCTTTCTCTCAGACTACGACCATGGAATCATTGATCCCATAATTCCTCCTCATTCGAATGGTTTCTTTTCTATAGTGAATAAAAAACAACTTGTACTAACTGAATCTGTTGATCGAGAACAAAATCCACAATTTTTCATCCGAATACTTGCAGTGGACGGTGGTAAAGTGCAACAGCTAACCGGAACAACTACTCTAACTATTATAATTGACGATGAGAATGACAATTACCCAGAGCTTGTTCATCCTATGAATGCCAGTATGCTCTTTGGGCCTTCAAATCACTTCGACATGGTAGATGACCCTGAGTTGAGGCATATTCCCATCGACACTCCAGCCGGCAGCTTAATCACTACTCTGAGGTCACGTGACATGGATGCCGGGGAAAATGGCCGTGTTTCCTACCACATAAGAAAGGCCGAACCGCATGAGCTCTGGTTCCCAACGCAACAAGGGTCAGTGAGATCTGCAGGATCACAAACATCTTTACAAAGGCACAAATTAGTCTCAGATGGATGTCAGTATTTCAGAATTAATAAATTGGATGGCCATTTAAAGACGGCTTGGCTGTATGGAAGCTCAAAGGATCATGCAGGTAGTAACTCAACCGAGGCCCTACCCCAAGCTCCATCACTCGGTGTGCATGTTATTGTTATAGGACTAACGGACGCCGGCACTCCCTCTCTCACTACACGAGTGTTACTCTACGTTAACATATCCGAGGCCACGAATACAGGGTTATTTGGTCTTTCGGGGTTCGGCTTCGGCGAGGTCGGCCTCGGGAATACTGTAATCTTGATTCTTATAATTGTTTGTAGCTTCGCACTCGTAATCAGTCTTACCGCGGCTATATTCTGGGTGCGGCTTAAAGTATACTCCGCAAATCCCTCACAGAATCAGTCGAATGTTATAAACGAGGTTAAGTACCAGGCTGGGTGCGTCGCTGCCTATCACGACACCATCCTACAGGAGCCGACTAACGGCAGCCTAGGCTACCTGAAGGAATCGGAAAACTTTGCACCTTTGGAGGGTGTTCGATGGAGCACTCCAAACGTCCTTGATCCCCTTCAATATGCCCTGCAAAATCCGTCGAATATCAATTTAAATGATGCAGGTGGTCGAACAAAATTTTACGGCAAAATACTAAACGACTGCCTAGAATCAGAAGTCCCGGTTTTTCCGGTGCTGCATTCAACAGAAAATGAGGGCATATTAGTGAGGGGCTACGATCACATGATCACGGGGAACATAGACCAGTATGAAGTTTGCTTTCCTGAAACCTTTCCACCAAACCTTGCACATGTGAAGGCTGGATCAACAGAAAGTGACAGTGGACTGGACAGTGGAGGCTACATGGTGGGACAAGCATCGTCCCCTTCTCCAGAAGGTGCTGCGGATCACTTCATGGGAACAGCCTCAGAATTAAGCGTTCCCTCAACATTTAAGCCACTTAGAAGCAGACCTTACGTTCAGCCACCCATGACGTTCAACACAGTGTCAACAGATACGTTCAGGCAGACTCCGATTAAGCAGGTCCTAGTTGAAAATCGCAGCACTACGGATTTTCGGCATCCCCACGAAAATTTGAGCCTCATTCCTCGAGATTCTGTAAGTCGCGAGGCTATTTTTTCCTCCATGCCTATTGTGTTCATGACTCTAGATCCTAGTTTGTTCCTATCAAGCACATCAGGCTACGATAGTGTTAGTGTCATTGGCCTCATGTTTCGTTCCTCGTTGGTTGAAATTTTTGTCAAAATAGTTGCCGTGCAACTATTATTTTTAAACTTCTAACGTTTTTTGCTTACATGGCCGTCAAAATGTTTTGATTTTACCTCTTGTATACTGATGGTGTTTGGTAGGTGTGCTGTTTAGTTTGTTTTAGATATTTAATTGGAATAATGACACTGGTAATTTAAAAATCTTAATTTGTTCCATAAGGCAAAATTTATGCGTTTTAACATTAAAAGCTTGTGCGTTTGTTTTAATTATTACTTCACCAAGATAATTAGGTACTTCTGTAATTAAGTAAATCAAATTGCAACCACTTACCCTAAATAAGAGCAAAAAATCTTCCTTATTGTAACCCTCAAATTGACCAATAATTTGGTGGACCAAGGGGAAGTGATAACATTGAGCCCTACTTTATGAGCCGAGTTCGAAATCACACATACTCAGAATTATCTTCTTAAAACGAAAGGCTACTTTGATATCACGAAAGCGGGAACCATTGTTGTATTGACTTCACAACCAACTTACGCCAACCCATACACCGTCAACTAGGGTAGTTAGTACAGTTTTTCCACTAATGTACATTTATCGTTTTCCGAATGTGACCGTTTCTGGGCTAAGTGATCATGATTCTGCTAGATTTACTATCCCGCCAGCGGATTACGTTGGAAAAAATAAGCAAAATGAACTTACCAATGGGATCCTGTACAGTTTTACGCATGAAAAGATTTGGCAAGGAGTAAAAAAGAACACTAGTGTAAAATTATGCCCAGAGACTGGATGCTATGTGACCAAGCAAGTGCTTAGACATAAAATACCGTTTGGATTCATCTAAATTGCCTGCACAACACTAGTCGCGCAAACATCAAGTCATTAATTAACTTAAGTATAGGCATGCAACCTCTCACCAAGGTCTGGGGTTGTGTTTTTGTTAATTAATAGAATTTTTAGTTAACGAAAAAGAACGACTGTAGATTTAGGAGGCATGTGTGGGTAGAATGTATAGAGCGGGGTTCGTAGTGGAGGATTTCCTGATATTTGTTAAAGTGGGTCTAGTTTTTTGGATACAATAATACAAAAAGGAAAAATACCGAAGACCCTTGTAAAATTAGTTAGGAAGAAGTATAATGGGATAAACGCAGTGAGTTAAATAGCTGGTTATTTATGACTGCCGAGTGATACACATCAGCAAATCTAAAAAAAATGTTCTTCTAAAAGTCAAGTTTCTAAGCCAAGTTGAACTCACAAGGAAGGACGGAGGTGGCGCTTGTTTATTGTACATATTTTACTATTAATCAAAGGCCAACCTATGTTTAGGGAGTCACTGCAGCACCCAGAAAAGGCAGAACACCGTAAATACTCTTCTGAACTAAATAGAAAAGCTGCTGTTAGCGATGTGCAAAGCAAGATTACTTTAAAGTTCGCAAAGATTTTAATCACCAAGACACATAAGTCCCTACTGATGCAATACAGGGACAGTGCTTTATGTTTTGTCCTGGTCAAAACCTTCAGCGAAACGTGCTACCACGACAATAAATCTTTGACAATGACATTATTATCTTCATTTCAATGCGGTTGGTCATTCGTAGACTGGTATTTATGCTGAATATGGAAGCACTAGTCGGAATTTATGGCTCCCCGAAGATCTCACCGTTCATGAATATTAAAGCTATTGCAATATCCCCTCTCCTATCTGTAGAATTGAAGCGGCCTCTCGTCAGGGAACCATTTTGATGAACTTTACTAGAAACTTCATCCCTGTCAGCCAGGTTCGATTGTGAATTTCGGTACCACACAGGAGCCACTGTCAGTGGAAGTCTTTTTGGTTCGGAAAGCAATTCAACTCACAAATCTTAATGATGTAGCCCTCTGAAAGGTTCTTCCTAAACTATGCTTGATAAAAGCACGGACTTTTTGAGGCTCTGTAAGGCTCTTGGTTTAAAAAGTTAAAGTTATTAAAGGGAAACCCTGACTGGTGCTTTAAGATTCTGCTCACCGTTGAACCAGAAGCACTAGGTTTTGCTAAAATCGGCGGGTTTAAAGAACAAGCGAACCTTTCGAAAAGGAGGTTATTCACTTTGTAGTTTTGCTGCGTAACCGCAATTTCAACTTGCCCCTATCTTCTACGTCAAAGCGTACTAGCATTTACTGCTGTCGCACACGTCTAGGATATTTGCAGGCTCGGAATCGGGTCAGCAATCTTGAAAGGTGATCATGTTCTGACGACCTCGAGTAGCCGTAAAGGACATAGATTTTTATGGTCTTCTGTTCGATTCGGTAGCTCACAATTACGCAAAAGCCACTCTATAATGGCATCCCTGTAACACGTTTTGCGGCAAGGTAAAATATACCGTGATGAATCCAATCGGCATATGTTCACCGCAAATAAAAAAATTAATGATCAAATATGTGAGCAATGTTTATAAGAAAAGACATTATATTAATAATATTATAACAAGCTAGTTGTCCCACAAACGCATGAACTTTGTTCATTCGCACTCGACTGACCTCAGTGTACGGTTGACTGCTATCCTGTTCAGCGAATTTAAAGCTACGTCCAGGCAGTGTAAAAGTCTTACTTTGTAGAGTTGGGTATCACCTCTCAGTCTGTATAAAAGAAATCACTTTTATTAATTGTTCTGTTCAAACCTAAGGTCCTGGTTTGGTCTATTTCATCCATTCTCATTTGGTCAAACGCTGCATCATATTTAAGGAAAGTCCGTAACAAACGTTTCTCTAGAGATAGGCGTTTAATAAAAGTTATTTCAACTTTTCGTCCAGATTTTTTAATGCAAAGTTAATTTAAATTTGATTTCATTTGACCTGGCGAGTTTTTACACTACAATACCTATTTTAAAAACGTTTAGTGCAAATACCGCCCTGGCGAGTGTACACAGTGGGGACTGTTTTGCAAGCAATAGCTCTCGCTTTGTTAAAAAATAACGGCTACCATTTCGTGTGATTCGCTCTGTGTATGCCAAAATGCATAAAACTACGCATGTCTATTTTGCGCTAAATTTTAGTTCTACACTCTTTGTATAACTTTCCAACTTCTAATCCACCTTGTCTTTTGAGGTTTTAAACTGTCCAACGTGACAGCTCGTGATCTTTATAATCATGCAAATTTGTCATGCTCAAACCTTTTTCTAGAAGATCGTTACCGTTTAAAATTTTCTGCCATCCAACTTAGTGTAATTGCAGTTTTATCTAAATGCAGAAAATTCTGGCTTACTTTACTGCTATTTGACTAACCACTAACACAGTATCTCGACTGCGGCATGTTAAATTCAGTAAGTTTTTATAAAAGCTCAACTTTTCGTTTTCTGTGAGCATATTCAAATTTTTTAAACATTACAGAACCATGTCGCTATACCATACAACAAGAAAGTCAACAAAGGCGCAGTCACATCAAAATATTACTTAATACCATCACCATTTAAATAAGGCTGTTGCATGATTTCTCGCCGATTATTCAACTTGTTGATTGCGTGTTTAGCTGTACGTTGAGCAACAAGTTTAGACTGAATGTGTAAACGTTAACTTACTGCTTAAGATGCCTAGTTATCGGTGTTTAGCCAATCCTGAAAGGTGACGACTCATAAATTTACCATGCTATCACTTTGATTATTATGCATTTTAAAGCAAGATAGATAGACCAGTTACGTTTATTCATTCCAATCTCTAGACCCAGGAAAACGTTAAATGATCTTGTGACTGCTTCTGGAGCTTCACCCTCAGGCACTTTTATCAAAATAAACCACTAACAACAGTTGCTTATGCTTTTTAGTGTTTGGCCTAAATCTCAAAATCTCCCGCCTGTGTCCAAGTTGTTGGTACAGAATTCCTTGCCACATCGATGACAGCCACTACAAATGAGGGACATGATGCCTTCCAATGAAGTCGGCTAATTCCTCCTGTAAATGCTTCCTATTCTTCTCTTGCCAGTATTTCCGCATCTTCATAGCATATTTTCTCTGTTACTCTTAACAGCTAATAAGCGTATGTAATGTCCACTGTACAAATAAGTGCAATACCTAATAGAATGAGTCTTTTTCCAGGAGAATTATGCATTGGCTAGTTACGCAGACGTATGTGGATGTAACTTGTATTCCAGTTACATGTAACTATGTATGTGTGTGCATTAATCACTGCACGTAATCATGCCCCCATCACCAGACGGGATGCGACATGCACCTCTAGTGACTGAACTAAACAATGAGGAGCCTGGTAAAAGCAGAATTGACTAGGCTTCAGCGAACTTCATGTGTTTAAAAAATAATGTCACTACTGGAACCCTAGAAACTGGTGTCTGTGGCGGAGGCCTTAGCTAGAGCGGGTCATTCGTGGAGATGAGCATTAAACTGTCATCAGTGAAAATGCAGCTTATTATATTCTTTTTTAATGAATAGCTAACCCTTTGCTTGGAATTCAGAAGGCTGCAAAAAGAATGTTGGAAGTTTCCTTAGTACCATTTTAAACACTAGTGCAGAGGATGTGTGTATAGAGAGTGTTAAATTGAAATATTTATTTTTCAAGCAAAGGTGGGTACTTGACAAGGTTGTTAGAGTAAATACGATAGCACTTAATGCGTGTAGTTGGATAACTGAGTAAATATCACCTCAATAAACTTCGAAATGCAAATGTTGTACATCCGAAACACATGAAAATTTTTAAGTCCTTTCTATGGTCACGTTTGTCAATGACACGAAAAGACAAAAAGAAACATATTTACGTTTATAAAAAATATTTCACCCGTTTGCAGTGGAATACATCTATTTTTTGACTAATCTCTACATGAATTAGGGCATGCGCGAAAGTGTAAACCTAATAATTCTTTTGCGGAAAGAACAGCAAATTTCGTGTGTTTCCCATTTTCTTAATTTTATTTGCAAATGGCTCAGAATTTTAGACTAGGTCGCTACCAAAAAATACCTTGGGATGTGTTTGTGATCGGGAATGGCAATGCAATCAATTGATTGATGTCATCAGATGATTGTCAATACCTATCCAGGAGTCTGCATTCTGTACTATATTAGACAAGATTGTTGAGCTAATTTTTTTCA